AACGTATATAATTAAAAAATTTATCATTTGAAAATTTAAGAACATCGTCTGGAAGATCAGATACGTTAGAAGGTTCTTGAATATCCATTAAAATAAAATCGAAATGCAATAGAAATAAACACGTTTAAAGAATAAACAATATAATTATAATTTGTTTAGTTTCAACAAAAAAGATAAAGTTTATGAATAATATATTGAACAAGACGTGTGCTTAATACTTTTCAAATAAACTCATTCATACTGATTAATTCTATTTATATTTTATTCAAATAGAGGTAGGCCAAGGAAGAAATGTCTCGTAGGAATGCCATGACATTCTACTCCCTCGATACAATGTAATCCTGAATAAAGAATCTGATACGAAAAAACGGGCCAAACAATAACATATGAAAGTCCAGGCACATACACAGAGAAAGAAAGAAGTCTGTTTAGCGAGAAATGAAAGGAAATGACAAGGAGAGAGAGAATAAAAGCACGTTAGAACAAAAGAACATGTTATTCCTCTTCTATAAATCTTTTTGTTGTAAAAATATAGTCTATGACTGCACAGTATATACATGAAAAATCTTCTTTCGAAAGAGATACATTTAGTAAAAGAAGATTAAGACTGACGGTAAGAGTGTTTTTTATTGTTAAGATTTCTTTTATAAGAATTTTTCTTTGAGCGTGGAATAACGTGATCCATCCTATCCCGGAATGGATTCTAGTAGAATGTCATGATATTCCTATGAGACTTTTCTTCCTTGGTCTAACTCTATTTGAATAAAGTATAAATAGAATTAATCAGTATGAATGAGTTTATTTAAAAAGTATTAAGCACACGTCTTGTTCAATATATTATTCATAAACTTTATCTTTTTTGTTGAAACTAAACATAACAATGGCGTCATCATTATCAACAATAACAACGGCTGCAAACAGTAATATTGACAAAGATTATGTTATATCAAGTATTGATGAAATTCCTGATGATGTAATTAAATATGCGAATGATAGATTCTATAATTTCGTTGAAGAAGTTTCGGGTGAAAATACAGAAATTATATTAAAAGTTCAAGAAATTCGTGCTGTTTCAACACTATTAACAACAACAACAACAGAAGATATAATAAAAGATTTGTTAAAATATGAAGATGAAGAAATTGAATTTGTTAAGCAAAACTGTTTTTACAAAGATAATGATCAATATAAATTGAAAGTTGGAATTGAACGAGAAATAAGTAAATTATTAAGTTTATTGAAGACAAGGCAGAACACCTTCATTTCTTACATCTCCACCATCAACAATAAATATATTTGCATCTTCATCAACCCCTTCGCCATTATCAACAATAACACAAACGAATACACGTGTAAATAGTAAATTGAATAAAAACAATCATGAAGAATCAATAAGAAATAGAATTGAGAAGTGGTGTATTCAAAACCAATACAACATTAAAAAGCGGTGATGATTATACATTAACGGTACGTGAAAATGCTGACGGCACATTTAAAGTAAAACTTATGTGTAAATGTCGTACGTGTATATTTTTGCCAATGGAAAAAGATAGTAGTGATGAAGGTTTTCAAATATCAAGATTTTATAAGCATTTAATTTTATTCTACGATACAATGATGAACAAATGTGAACAGGTCATAAAACAAATGAAATGGAAATAGAAAATGGGAAAAAGAAGAATTTAGCATTATTAAATTATGCCATTGATGTTTTGGTTTTATTATGTTGGTCGAATAAAACGATAAGAAAACGATGTATGAAACATTCAACTATAATCGATTCTTTAATATAAATATCGGTTAAAATCCTAGCTTCAGAATGTAGAAAGTTGAGCTCGAATTGTATATTTTTAGAAATTCCAGAGCGATTTCTGACAGAACGGAAAATACAATTTATGCTAAATCGAATCGATTTTCTATAAACTGGAATTTAATTCCAACCCAGGTCAAAGGATC